GGTCTGCCCTGGACCCTCCTCTCAGCAGGAGGCCCGTGGCCCCACCCTGAGGCCCCCATGCCCTGCCCCTGGGGCTGGGGACCCTGTGGAACTCCTGCCAGTCTAGCAGCTCCCAGCCAGCGAGGCCTCAGCAGGGACGTGCCCGGGGAGGCCCAGGAGGAGCCAGGAGCTGGCGGGGGAAGCAGGAAGGCGGAGGGTTGCTTCTCAGCGGAGACGTACCCCAGCCGGGGCCTGCGCCTGGGGCTGACTTCCCCGGGACCTCACGTCTAAGAGCTGAACCTGAGCGCACCCGTGGGGGAGGCTGTGCCTGCCTGGCTCAGCTGGAAGCACGGACTCGCCCAGAGGTGCTGCTCACCGTGCGACCAGCTCAGTGCGGCCGCGTGCTTGGCTGCTGGTGGACACCGCTGCCGGGTTTCCTGGCAGGGGCAGGGCAGCCTCCGGAGTCAGGCCCTGTTCAAAGCGCTTTACTGCCTCACCTCCCCACAACCTCGTGCGTTAGAGACTCTCGAGTCCCACGTGTGCAGGTGGGGAAACTGAGGCACAGGGCTGTAAGTGCCTTGCCCAGGCTCAGATGCCATTGGGCGGGGGGTTAGGGGGAGATCAGCCAGTGGGCGTGTTCCCTGGAACTACCTTTGGTCCCGTTCCAGCTGCCTGCTCCCGTGTCCCCAGCTCAGAAAGCAGGGACCTCACGTCTAAGAGCTGAGCCTGAGCGCACCTGTGGGGGAGGCTGCGCCTGCCTGGCCCAGCTGGAAGCACGGACTCGCCCAGGGGCGCTGCTCGCCGTGCGACCAGCTCAGTGCGGGCCGCGTGCTTGGCTGCTGGTGGACACCGCTGCCGGGTTTCCTGGCAGGGGCAGGGCAGCCTCCGGAGTCAGGCCCTGTTCAAAGCGCTTTACTGCCTCACCTCCCCACAACCTCGTGCGTTAGAGACTCTCGAGTCCCACGTGTGCAGGTGGGGAAACTGAGGCACAGGGCTGTAAGTGCCTTGCCCAGGCTCAGATGCCATTGGGCGGGGGGTTAGGGGGAGATCAGCCAGTGGGCGTGTTCCCTGGAACTACCTTTGGTCCCGTTCCAGCTGCCTGCTCCCGTGTCCCCAGCTCAGAGCCTCAGAAAGCTGCGAGGCTTCAAGTCACACTCTCAGGGCCATTGACAAACCTAAAGGCTTGGGCACTGACCAGCGGGGAGGACCCGCGCGCTGTGCTTTGGCGCCCAGGGAGGGACTGCTTCTCGGAGAAGACGGGAGGTGGCAGCCTCCTGGTGGACTTCTCCCTGGGCTGCTCCGTGCCAGCACTCGTACCCTGAGCGGAAGCTTCGGGGGGCTGGCTGCCTTATTTCAGAGTGAGGGTGACCAGGGGGTGGGGCTGTGTGGGGACAGAGTGGGAACCTGGGCTACGAGCTTGGGGTGCTGGTGAGGGGTGCCTGCAGCAAGTGGGGTGGTGGGTCTTTGACCTTGGGAGTCCTTTCTAGCCCAGAGCCTCTATCAATCTGTCATTCGGGGTGAGTAGGATCAGGCTCACCTGGCAGCGTCACTGGGAGGGCCCCAGCCCCCCAGACACGCCCAGCAGGGCAGGATCGCTCAGCGAGAGGAGGGGCCCTGACCCCCCACAGCAGCTCCAACCTCTGGCAGGTGTGTGTCTGAGACCTCGGGATCTGAGTCAGGCTCCGGAGCTGGGCCTCTGTGGGTGGCCTTCCCTGCTGTTTGGGACCACGTGGGGCTTGACTGTCCCTCTTCATGGGTGGGCGTCCGCTCCCCATGCCTGGCCACGGACCCAGTGATGGGCATCGCGATGACGTAAGTCTCCGGGGGCCACCCGGGCATTCTTTCCAAGGAGACAAGCTCCCCCGAACCCTGCTGACCAGGAAAGGGGTGTGTATGCGGGAGACGTTGGTTCTCTTGCTTCTTCACGAAGCCTGGCCTCTCACAGGTGTGTCCCGGGCAGGCCGGCACCTTGCGTGGGCAGTGACACTCACGGGCCTGCTTTTCACAGAGTCCTAGTGTCACAGCGCCCAGTGTATTCCGGCCTCACTGCTCAGTGTTCTGAGACTTCACACCACGGGTGCCTCCTCTCTTCTTACCAGTGTCCCTCGCCCAGGTCGCTGGGGAACCAGGGACTGTTCAGCTGCGGGGGACTGACTTTGGGCGCCATCCCACTACCTCTCCGACCGCAGCACGGCCACGAGGCACCTGGGGAGGGTGCTGACACGGGCCTTCTGGGTTGGTGGGCCAGGTGGGGGCCCGGATGCTGCGTTTCTAACAGGCTTTCTGGACGGGGTGCTGCTGGGCAGAGAGGGCCTCGCTGTCATTTTACAGACATGGAAGCTGAGACCCGGAAGGCCTCCGTGCCCCGCCTGCCCCTGCCCAGGCCATCCTCTTCCTTAACGAGGGCCCCTCCCTGCCAGCTGCCACTTCCTGCTCAGGCTCCTGGCTCCAGCATCAGCAGCATCCCATCTCCGCCCCGTGTCACTGTCAGGGTGAGCGCCGTCTTGTGCCACCAGGCCCCTTGCTGCACAGCCTGTGTTTGCTGCTGTCTCCTCTCCAAGGGGTTTAAAGGCTTTATTGGTTCTGAGTTATGGACACCTCCCTGTCTCTGCTGGGAATGTTAGAAGTCACTTTTCACTTTCAAAAAGAAGTGTGCTGGGCATCCAGGCTGGAGACCCGATGCTGGGCAAAGTCCACCTGGCCTTCCCTGCCTCTCGGCACCTCCCTGGAGTGGCCTGAGAGGTTCCCCGTGTGTCCCAGCTGCCACCTGCCCCCTCCTGAGGGGCCGAGCTAGAGCCTTGGCTGTGCCTCAGTTTCCCCGACTCTCAGGTATCCCAGAGCCAGTCCCAGAGTGGCCCTGGCAGTGGCAAGGAGATGCCCAGTGGACTGAGGGGATCGGATTGGCCCAGGGCCAGTAGGAACTGGTTTGAGAGTCTGAGGAGGTCTCCACTCTCTGTCCCCTCCTGCTGGTGGGAGGGCAACACGCCAGTGTGGGGACCAGGCCATACTGGCAACTGGGGGAGAAGTCTCATGGGGCCAAGGGAAGGCAGAATGCAAGGGGGAGCCGGGACACTGCCTTTTATAGGCACGTTTGCTCCCTTGCCTTCCCCCCAAGTTCTCTAGGCGACAGTGCCGCTCGCAGGCGCCAGGCCTGTCTGTGGTTGGCCTGGGCGGGTGGCACCACGCGCCCCCTCCCCCATCCCGCCTGCAAGTTGCATGACCTGCATCGGAATCCGCAGGGGGCGGGCGGACCTTTCAGAGGCTGAAAGCAGTGAATTCCGGGTCTTCTTTCCTCGCCTGCCCTCGCCGGGGCTTTCTTCTCCCCTGAATGAATGCTGTATGTGTCTGCCTGCCGGCTCCCTAACCCTTTCTTCTCCCTCCCGCCAGCTCCGCTCCGGCTCCTCAGCACACAGCTCTCACCCTCGGCACGGTGACGTTTTATTTAAAAAATCAAATCACATCAAATCCCGACCGAGACAGAAAGTAGGGACTCCTTCCTCTCCCGTGGGGACCTGGGCTCCGGTCAGAGGTCGGCTGCACCTGCTTTGCGCCCCTACCAGGAAGGGGTGCTTGGGTGGGAGGGGAGGAAGGAGGTGCTGCACCCCCACCCCAATCCGGGGAAGCAGCCCGCCCGCCCCTCACCCCGCAGCCGGAGCCGCGCGCCCCAGAGGAGCGCCCAGCCCAGAAGCCGGCCTCCAGCAGGGCTGGCCTGGCGCTGGCAGCGCTGCC